AACGGACACTAGAGGCGCCCCTATCGTGTGTCATATTTCAAACATTCAAATTAACAATTTTAATTCTTATTTAAATTAACAATATGAATTATTATTATTCATTTGGCAATAAATTATTATTTGGTCAATATAACAATATAAATAATTCAGTATATTTGTAATAGGAATTTATTATTTCAGGGGCTTATATCTCGCGAAGGGTTGCGAGTAGGGGTATGGTTCCTTTGCCTTTATTGTTCGCACAGGGGGCTACAGTTTGGGAGGGTCACCACCTCTTCATCTAATCTTACCATTGGGACTTTAACAGAGCTGTACAGCATATTGATAGGAACAAAAAAGTCAAAGGAACCGTGCTTCATGGAAATTTGTAAACAATGCCCACTAGAGGGCGTCCCGGGCTACTAGTGTAATATATAACACATTTGAACAACATATAAAAGGAAAGATAAAACAGTACAAAGTTAAGTCATGTACTGCTAAAAAAATTGATCAAGTTTTGTTTGTTTTTTTTGATGGACTTGTTCTTGCCTTTCACCTAACTTTAATCATGAAAGAATGAAGAGTCATTCTAAAGGTTAGCTGTCATTGACAGTGAATAGTGAGAATGAATGAAAAACCAGAAAGCAATTTTCATTCACTTAACAAAATTGATTCATACTGTAGAATGTGAAAAGTGAAAATTTTTGGTATGTTGGACTGGTAGAATGACTTTCTAAATAGGAAAATTTCCTGAAAATGGCACCACATATAATGTACAGTATTATTTGCTTTGTTTTTTCCATTTTCTGGTGATTCACTCTCAGTGTAAACTATGCTTTATGGTACTGAAAAATATGACATATAAGTACAAAATTATATAAATTGAAAACATACAACTAAAGTGTTTTATAGTGGAGAAAGTACTGTGCACAAAATATTTAATGTATAATTGCAAAAAACATACAACTGAGAAATAAATAAACAGGGTTTAAAATTAGGAACAATAGTATAAATCCTTGTATAAATATTTTTTAAACAATAATTGAACGAGGGAGGAAAAGCATAATTTCAGTATTCTGTTTCTTGTATTGATTATTACAGTCCATTGGGTCTTTAATAGTAAAAGGATTCATCATTCATTGAACAAGGTAGAGGTATTCTCTTCATATATCTGTTGATTTTTGAGATTTTTCTCTATTAATGCCATTCATACATAGTTGTGAAAAGTAATGTTTTAATTTTATTCTGAAAACTTTCCTTTTAGTTGTTTATCAAAAATTTCTGTGCATATCTTGAAAATAATTATTCTCTTCTTACTATAATTTTATTTGTTAATGTCTAATTGTGNTTTAGTTGTTTATCAAAAATTTCTGTGCATATCTTGAAAATAATTATTCTCTTCTTACTATAATTTTATTTGTTTTAATTTTTTCTTCTGTCAAATTTTTATCTTTAATTATGTCTTATCTGACATAAGACATATATTTTAAAAATTTATTTTAAAAGATCTCTGAACTTAATTAGATAAAAGTTATGTTAGTAGAAGCCTAGGGGCCTGCATCTGTTGGCAGTAGATGAAACCTAAATGCCCTCATGTTGACATAATGATTCCTGGATCAACTAGAATAAAATATACATGAATGTAAATTACTATATTAAGAAGACAAATGATAATAATGCTTACACATAATAAAGCCAATGTTCATCATCCTACAGCAAACCATTTGATGTATTCATTTCTTTAGTTTCATAATGTTAGATGATAAGTATATGCAAACTTAAATACATTTCTTGAATGGTTGATTTATGCTGGACTTTCATTAATGAAGCCTTATCTCATTTCTCCAAATGTTTTATAAATTCTGGATTTATTTTCTTATAACAAAAATACAGTAATATGCTAATTAATATACAGAAAATTTTCAGATTTGTAAAATATTAAGTAATCTAAATTTTATATCAAACATTAATTATGAAAATATAATATGAAGCATGATTTAGAATTATAATAATTGCATAAATGTGATAAAACTTAAGTTTTTTAAAAATTTGTTATCCTAGCTGTGCTATAGGTGTTAATTATTAATAATTTATATAATTAATAAATCAATCAATTAGGTTTTAAAATGCTTTAAAAAATTGTTATGCTTTATTGGAATGAAGATTTCAAAATGTTCACTCTACTAAAGTATAATTTTTTTACAATTATGGGTTTTGATTGTGGTTTGGAGATTTTTAAAGTATTATTATTGAGTATAAAATAAAGTAAAATAAATTTATTAATGATGTCTCTTTTTTTTATTTATTAAACTATTGAAATATGAATATTAATTATTATTGTTTATAAAATATTAAAAATTATATTTTTATTTCAGTTTAAATGGTGATTCAACTCTGATAATTTTGAAAACTTCTAATATTGTCTATTGTCTTAAAATTGTATTTTTCATCTTTCTTCATTATCCTGAAACAGTTTGAATTTTAGTACTATAAAAACTTTTTCCTTGTTGTTGAAGTTAACTCAGGATACAATCCTGCAGGGATTTTTGTTGCAAATTTCTTTCTAAGTGCTCCTTTAAAGATCCAAACAGATAAAACTTGCTTGGAATTAAATTTGGACTGTAAGTGATGGTTGAGGACTTCTCGGCTGTTGCAAAAATTAGTCTCCTTCTGCTTCAAGGAACTTTTTCTTGAGCATGTTTCTCTTGCAGACATTGACATGTATTGCCTTCCAATCAAAAGTCAGTGCTTTAGATATCCATTGTAAAGACACTTTTCTGAACAGAAAATATTCCTGAATGATTGTTTCAGCACTAGCCAGGCTGTTGATAATTGCAGAAACTTTATATACTTTTATTCTTCTGTTCTTCAAAATAATCTGCTCAATATGGCTTCTGTTATAGCAGTTGTCTAGGTATGCCCACAGGATTCATTCTACACCTGATCTTAGTCTTTGCTAAACTTGTTGCATTAGCCACACACACATCATTTTGATAATATTTATTCTACATACTTGCCTGCAGTCTGTGGCATATTTAAGCCAATTTCATATTTTTAATGCCACCAATGTTCCTACTTACAGAAATATCTTCCAACATCTTATTGTCTGACTTACTCTGCATTTACACCAAAGGGAAGCATTTATTCTTGAAAGGAAAATAAAGGCCATATCAACAACTGTGACAAAAGATATACCAAAATGTACAGGGCCTTTTTGAATTGCCCTCATATACATACACACATATATATACAGAGTGGTGGTCTATTTTAATAAATTTACTGAAATAACTTGAAGAATACAAATCCTACAAAAAAGTCATTGAACCAAAAATGTTAAACTTCAAGGAGTTTACAAGATGGGGCCATTAATTTTATCATAGATAATGCCACAATTGATGAAAATGGTCAACTTCCTGTTGGTAAATGGGAATCCCTGTTTTTTATTGTGTATTATGATTCTAAATCAAAAACAAACTTTTAACTAAATATTTATTTCAAAAGATGCACTTATTAGAAGTTATAAGCATTTGAACTTTGTATGACTGCCATATCACATACATGTCTGTGGATATCAGGAAGTAGAATGCTAAAAATCCTTATGAAACTATTATTATTTGGTAGAATCACGTAGATTTTTTGTTACTATTTATATAATATATATATGGGAGGATCCAAAAATAACTGGATTTTTTGTATAAAAACTTTATTTATTAACTTTTTTACAAAATTATTTCAGTCACCTTCAAAGTACTCTCCATTAGATGCGATGTACTTGTGAAGTCTTTTTCCCCACTGTTTGAAGCATCTCTGGAACTCTTCAACTTTGATATCATCTAGTGCCCTTAGCGAAGCTGTTTTTACTGCCTCCACATCATCAAAACGCTTCCCTTTTAGATTTTTCTTCATTCTCGAAACAGAAAAAAGTTGCATGGGGCTAGATCTGGTGAATACAGAGGGGGGGGAATGACAGGCCATCCCTGAGAGGCCAAATAGTGAGTCACTCATAAGGCCGTGTATGCAGGGGCGTTATCATGATGAAGGAACCAGTCACCTGATCACCAAAGTTCCGAGCGTTCTTTGCAAATCCTTTCGCAGACGTCTTAACACTTTTTTGGCAGATTTTTTCAACGTTTTCATTGTTTCGAGATGTTGAAGGACTCCTAGAACTTTGCAGGAGGAACAAAATAACAGTAAGAGAAACACAGCACTACACTCAAACATAAACCTACAAACTGACACCCTTTAGACAGCTGTTTCGTGAAGGTCTCTACTAACCCCATGTAACCAGAGAACTCTCTACTACGTCTACGAATGGCAGTGTGCTCTCAGTTCAGTTTTTTTTAGGTTTCCCCTCATATCACTGATGTGATTTGATAATTCTTTTAAAATTTAACCCATTTCTATTAATTTCAAAATTTTTGTTATTTTAATATTAATTGTTGAATAGGAAATAATTTTTGTTTTACCAATAAATTTATTATTAAATGTAATATTAGTTAGATTAATTAGAAATTTAAAATATTTTAGGATGAGAAGAAGAAAAGCCAGAGAAATTAAGAATTTAATTGTTAAACATCATGATGGTATGTCATCAGATGATGAAGAAATAGATATTGATGTCTTGAAACATAAAGAACAACAAAGTAAATAAATTTCTGATTTTAAATGATTTTTACATATAAATTCTTATCAGCTTATTTACTTTAATATACCAAATTTATTGTAGTATATTGAATTTCTCTCTATGATGCCAATTATTTCTACATGTTGCACCAGCAAATTTTCAAATCTTCTATGTTCATGTAAACAGATTTTGATTATCAGTTTGGGCAAGTTTAGTCCCCATAGTTTTAATGTATTTTTAAGTAATAAGTATAGAACAAGATCATAGAATACATTTTAATATATATATTTATTTTTTAAATTGATATTACAGTAGAGCATCGATTATCCGACTCAATTGGGGACTGGGTTGGTCGGATAATTGAAAAGTCGGATAACCGAAAAGTATGAAAAAATCCATTATTAGTGTAGAATATTATTATATCCCATGTAATTAGTATATTAGTATATCGCTATTAACCTACTTCGTGTTGAATTTTCATCAATGTTAAACCTAACAAATTTTTTAAAAATAATAATCGTTGCTATTGTATCCTTAAAAATTATTTTATTGCTCACAAAACAAACAACCACTCATAATTACAAAATTAAGCCTCGTTTAAATACTGGCCTCCCTTTCATGGTTGAGCCAGTATTGCCAGCTAAAACATGCAAAAATTTAACAAAAATAATATTAAAGTAGCCAAGACATAGCCAAATATTGTAGCGCCACATCACTAGCGGACATTTGAATTTGCCAACTAGAACGCGGTCGGTTAACTAAGGTGACGGTTAATCAGGGGTCGGATAATGGATGCTCTACTGTATTTTAAAAACATAAAAGTTAAAAACTCTTTTAATATAAAATTCTTTAAAATTTTTTAATACTTCTAAAAAGTATTTTTAATTCTTAAATTTAATTTACCATAAATAATTATTTCATGCTTTTTTATTTGCTATAATCTTTCTCAATCTGATTCAAAACCTAATCATAGGTTATGTTTATAGATAATTGTTAGAGGTTTAACTTAAAACATTTTTAACATGTAACAGGTGTTACATGTTTATTACTTTATAAATATAATAAATTTTATATTATAATATAGGTACACTTAATTTAGCTTCTGGAACTGATGTAAACGTAATATATTGGAAATATTTGGTTAAATATTAGTCACTGCTAGTTTTAAATTAGTTTTGATGTGTTTGTTAGATGGTTTCTTGTTTTAATTTTTATTAAATTCATTGGGGAAAAACTATTTACATTCATAAGTTGTAGAAAATAATGTTGGAATTTTTACTGCATACTTTCTTAAGCTGGGATATTGATATATTTATTCATATTTTATGCGACGTGGGCCGCAAAAAATATTACTGCGGCCCAAGGGCCGTGGGTTGCCCATCCCTGTTGAAAATCATTAACAATTAATCATCCTAACCATTGTTATAGCAAATACCTGTAAATTAATAATTATCATCCATATTTTATTAATCATCACCATTTCTGTGCTTATCAAATTTTGTAACAGTACAAAAATTTTATGTTAACTTGTATGCATTATTTCCTAAACATTTACATCACAAAGAGTTGATAAGGGACTTGAAGTCTGAAATGCATACTCTAGGAAATAAAAATGTGATTTTCTAAAGATTGTCCTGTTTCTAATTGATAGTGTAATAAGTCTAGCGGAAAAGAAAAGCAGTCATAGAGTTTGTAAAATTGAATGACTATTCTAATTGTTAAAATTATAGTTTGTTAGTTTTAATGAGGAAGAAAACAAAGTCTAAGAATATAATGAAGTTAAAAATTGTAACATTACAATTTTAATTTAATTGTGTTTTGAATTATATTTTCACTGATATAATTCAAATTACAACACTCAACAAGAAATTTATTAAATTACAATAAATTATGTATATAAAAATAGTGTTTAGTTTAAAATTAGTGATTTAGCATTTCTTCAAAATATGTAAATATTTTTATATACTAGTTATTGTCCTTGGCTTATTCTTTTAATATGCTGTATTAATTGTAATATATTTTTTTACAATAAATTATTTATTGAATGTAGTAGCTAAGATATATTATGCTTTCCTTAAGTAAATTTTTCATTTTGTCAATAAAATTACACTCACTGATTAAAAATAAAAAATTTTGTCATTTTTTTTTCCACCTTGTCCAATCATCAGAAAACAATTTTAATTAAAATGACTTAAGATGACTTAGTTTATACAAATTTTTAATTTTTAAAAAATACCATCAGCCATTTTAATTAAAATTGTATATGTATTTTTTAGTTGGCTTATTATCAGTGAACGTTTTTTTAACTGTTTTACATAATTCTGCAGAGGCATATTCTACAAAAGGTTGTCTCTGTATAGAAAGACTGTTATTGTTTTCTGAAGATTGGACATGATGGAAAGAAGACAACTTAGTTTTGTTCAAATTTTTAATTTTTTAAAAATACTATTGGCCATTTTAATTAAAATTGTGTTTAGTTGTGACATTGATAAATATTAAAATTGCTTTCTTTTTTATAACATTTTTTTAGTTTTTATTGGGACATTTTTACAGTCCCCAGATCCTTCAAATAGAACATATATTATATTTACCTCTAAATAACAGACACCATTGTCCATAACCTACATTACAAAAATGCAAAGTTTTACTTTCAATATTTCAAAAGTATCAATTACAAATGGAATATTTTAAAACTAACACAAAGAATTAGTTCAAATACTCTTTCAGGGGACAAATTTCAACCTTAGGTGTCGAATAAAGACTGAGTAGGAATAGGAATAGAGGAGGGGGGCAGGTTGTGAAACCTGTACAATATTCATTATCTATTAGAGAAGACTAATCTGGTTAAGTTGTCAATCACCATTTATTGTTGTACTGTACATATTACTGTCTGAATAAATCTGTCTTACTGTTGAAATTAAGCTTACAGTACCAAGAAACCATAAACTTTTCCAAAATCATTCATTCACTTGACAAGAACTGTAGTATAGTAGTAATGAAAAATAAATAGTTTTAAGGTTAAGACAGCAGCAGTTATTTGGTGAAAGTTAAAAGATCATGTAACGAAGATGATTTGCCAACCACTTTAAAGTTTAGGAAGATATTCCATTTTCTCGTATTTATGATCTTAACAGCTTTATGGTGGCTAAAGTAATTTTTAATAAATCATTTATTGAATAAAGCAAAAATGTTGAAAAATTACATCTACTTGATAACTACAAAGTAGACAAATCATTATATTGATTTTTATTAGTTGCTTAGATCATAAATGACGTTATAAATGCAAGAATGCCGAATGCATTTTTTACCCCTTGAAGTGGCTAGCAAATTGCCTTTGTAACTCAAATTCGAACTGTCATCACCAAAACCCACCTTTGTCCACCCTTCTGTTTGTAATAACAGTTTCATTTTTCTTTTTTGTTTCATCACTCAGATTGTTTTTGATGAATTAATAATTAATTAAAGTATCCTATACAATCTGTTTACCATTTAGAATTCAATTAAAATGTGATTTTTTACAGCTGAAAAGATAAATAATATACTATGTATATATTTTAATTATATATGCTATATATACTTTTTGGTATTTTAATTTTCCTATCTACAAATTTGATGTTTTCATAATCCATTGTATTCTTCACTTTATAATGACAAGGCTAAAATACAATATGGCCTCATGTACCTCCAAATAGTGGACAAACTATTTGGTTCTGATGGTGTCTGCTATTCGTAGGTTATACTGTATTATTATTATATTTAACATTACTTTTAGTCCATTTAATTATTACTAATTTTATATTTCTAATTACAGTAGAACCTTGATTATCCGGACTAATTGGGGATGAAGGTAGTCCGGATAAGGAAAAATCCGGATAATCGAAACAAATACTTTAATTTGTCTTTTAATGATAATACAACACATTTTCTTTTCGATGACATATCAGTAATATTAAAAGTAAATATTGTACTTAAATCGTGATCAAATTTTCAAGAAACAAACGTTCGTATTGAATACTGACCAACGCTAACAGACTACCTATTGTTTAAAAGGCCCTCTGGTGGCGCAAGAAGACGGATTTTATAAAATAAAAAGCAGTTGAAACTGCATTTTTATGAATAAAAATTTGACAAACTATTTATCGTTTTATGACGAGTAAAATTTTTTCGTCGCGTTCGCGGCTTTTAAGTAATGCATAAACCTTCGAGGCGCGAGGCCCTTCGGACCGCGAGGCATAGGCGGTGGCCCACGTCGTCCATGCCTTACGCCGCTCTTGGTCATAGAAATAATGTACAGTAATTTGAATATAAATTATTTATAAATACGTATGTCAAGTTATATTTTTAATACTGCATAAAATATATTTATGTGTTTACGACCACTGTGCTGAGTGAGACGTTGTTGAAACAAAAAATGTTATGCATTCCATCAAGTACATAAACAGTGTCGTAATTTGTCAAGTCCAAATCAGCAAATTCGTAAAATTTTTGTTTATTTTGAACAGTCCGGATAATCGAAAATCCGGATAATGGAGGTTCTACTGTACTTGATTATTTAATTAATTTAGTGATAAACTTTAATGAAATATAACATGCATAATTTTATGAGTGTTATATTTTATTAAAATTTCAGTATAATTTTGATTGTTCAAACACTTAAATGTTTGAACAATCAAAATTAATAAAAATTCATAAATTTTGTTTGAAATTTGGCATATATTTGTATAAAGTAATCTTGTCTGATATAATTTTGTAATTAAGATAAAATATTTAAAATTCTTTATTATATTGATATTATTTATATAAAATAATTTGATATAAATAATTACAGATATGAATTAAGAAATTGTTTTCTATAAAATTCTTTGATGTACTCAGCTGAAGCTTTATATTGGGCATTTCTAATCTATTCACTAATGACTTCTGAGGAGTCAATAAATACTAGTTGTAGTTTAGGTTGTTGGTGAAAATTTTATATTTAAAAATACAGTAAAACTTATGTAAACTGGAATCACACAGTACCAAATTTTGTTACTAGGTTTAATCCAAATTAGTCCAAAGTGATTCCAACTTTAGATGGAGTATTCTAATGCAAGAATTGAGACATATTCAATTCTAAAAAAGTTCTCATCATTCCTGAGAACTTATGCTAAGTATTCAAATATCAAGTTCTTTGATGTGATTCTCATGAGTTCACATGATAACAAGAACAAATATTAGTAACTTGTTCTACTATTGGAAATTCAAATTACATTACAATATTACAGAGACCAAATTATTCTGTGAATAAAATCAAAACATTTAAACAATCCAGCAAATCGTTTTTTAATATCTTAAAAACGCTTTCGAACGCTTTAAGCGATCATCCTCAGTTATCATTTTGAATTGAACGAAGAATTCAAAATTTCAAAATGATAAGTGAGGATGATTGCTTAAAGCGTTCAAAAGCGTTTTTAAGATATTAAAAAACAATTTGCTGAATTGTTTAAAAGTTTTGATTTTATTTATAGTGTAGTTCCAGTAAGAAAGTATTTTATTTATTTATTATTCTGTAATCTGACTTTTGAAAAATTTTAATGCAGTTGCCTTAAAATGAACACTGATCAAATTTTGTCATTGTCACAATGTTAATTTTCATGAAATAAAGTAAACAAAAATTTTACCAGAATTCATTAAGACAAACTGTAAATTACTTTCACAACCCCCAACAAATAACTCAATTTCCAATTATGGTTGCTTTTTATACTTTTTGAAGTGAACAATAAAAAGTGTATCATTTTCAGTAAAATTCATTTTCTTCTCTTAGCAAGTAAAGATGGGTTTGACCTTTGATTGTAGAGCAATTCAAACATCTGGTTCAAACATTCTACTTTACTTAGAAAATGGGGGTTAAAGTTTAAGAATACCCACCCCTTTAAATGGATGCAGTCCCATGTAAACATGCTAGTTTGCATATCAGGGAGGGCATACAATGATGTCAGTTTTGACTACTTGAACCAAATTTGGCTCCTTTTTTACTCTTTTGGCACCAGAAAAAGGAGTTGGTGCTTTGACTATTTTTTGGCTGCATACATGCTGCCATTAATGAAACTCAAACTAATACATCAGAGTCTGCATAATAGTGTCAGGACCAGTCACGAGGTTGCTTGATGAAAGTGAAAGATAAAATAAATGAAAACAAGATTGACATTGATGTTCAGTCATCTAAGCCTTCTTTCAAGGATGCAACAGATGGAGTAGACACTATACACCACTATCTGCATCTTGAAAGGGATGTGGATAAATATCTAAAGATACATTCAAAAATGAAAAAAAATATATTTTCTACTTTTTCAGTCTCCAACAGAAAAAAAATCATGAATTTCTTTTGGCTTTGTGCTTCATGCTTAAATGGCAAATGCCATTTCCTCCTCATTTTGTTTGATATGAAACTCATTTAGAACATTACTTTGTTTTTTATAAATAAATTTAACTTTATTTATAAAATTTAGTAAATTAATTCAAAATATTATAATTTAGAGATTTTGATCACCTATTAAGCCTTAACTCCCTAAATTATATAGGTAATGGCTGGGTGACCAAGTGGTCAAGGTGGCAGCCTACTGCTCTGGGGGACACAGGATCAAATCCAGACAGGTTGAAAAGCCTCAGGAATTTTTCAAGTGATAGTCCATTTGGATATGTTAGACCCTGGCTGCTCCATTGTGGGCTTGCTGAAAGAGACCCTCTTAGCACCCACAGGGCAGAAGGAGTTTTAAAAAAAAAATTATACGACCTTGACCTTCACCTTGAAAATTATTAATACAAATTTTCAATAAAAGCAAACTAACAACTGTTTCCCTAGCAATTTGCATTAATGTGAGTTTACTGTATGTACTGTAATTAATTAATCATTAAAACTTAAATCTCTCTAATTATCTCTAAAAATCTCTAAATTATCAAGAATATTAATCAGTTTGTTTTTGAATACTCAGTAATTCGCATTTTTCATGAACTCTAGAGGGCGCTGTATTTTTACAAAATGCCTACTTTATCTGGGTCGTTTGTTAGTCGTCAATGTAAAATGAATTATATATTACTATCTGATATAATGAAATATGCTACTTGTAGCAGTTCATAGAGAAATTTTATAGAAGGAGAACAAAGTATTATTAGCAGGACACGTCATTTTATGTGGTATTATCGAGAAAAACGAGCAAGATCGTTCTGTACATTTTTGTGCTCTTTGTCTCCAAACATCAGCGTTGACTTCTATCCCACACAAAATTACTGGAATTTTAAAGTTTATCGACATATCATATAAAATTGAATAGAATTACATTTTATTGAAGATAATCCTATAGTATAGGTTAAAAACGAATACAAATACTAAATTATTTTATACTTAGACTCTACGCAATCTTTTTCAGTTTGATTTTTTAATACTATCGAATTACAATAATCTAAACATATTTATAAAAACATGATAGCATACATGACAAAATATAATCTTCAAGAGTAAAATGTTTCAAACATACTACCATATACTTCGTAACTTTTTTGCCAATTCTTAGCAGTCGAATCCACTCTTTCCGTCGGTTACATTTCTGAGATTCTCCGAATTCTGATTTACGAAAAATCATCTGTTTTTCATGTGGGAATACATGAAAACTTATATCGGGATCGCGTATGGCTTTGGAATTACAATTTGGAACACAACAGAAAGCTTTACTTTTGCTTTTACTATTCATCTCTACTGTTGACAATATACGAAGAACATTCAAACGACCCAGATAGAGTAGTTCTGTTTTTAAACACCAGAAGGCGAGCATCCGGTGAAAAACGCGAATAGTTAGTTACTAGCTTCTCCACTATCTATGTAAGAAAAATTGGCAACAGGTTACCTTATTCTCTTTTCTTCAACAAATTATATTCATTGCTTGTTCTTGAGAATTCTGTTCTTGGAAATTCATCCAATTCTTAAAAGTTTCAGACACTTAAAAGTATTTGATTCTTTCCTGGTTAATTCCAACAAAGACCAATATTAACAAAGTCTGTATGTCCCCTTGTCAGACAAGCTTCTTTTCTCTGAAAAGATTCAAATTCAATTCTTGGAATACAGTTTGTCATGATCAATGACCATTATAAGGAAATATCACCTCCACATGTGTGCAAATAAGGAAAAATCACCTCCATATACATCTAGAGGTGATTCTTCTACTTTATTCAGATTAAGTTGTTCTTTGTACCAGTGAACATTCTTTCATTTTCTTGTTAGAGTAGTTAGACTGGCGAAATTAAAATTTAACATATAACACCACTTTGTTCCAAAGATTTTTTTCTATTTAGGCATTTTCCATTTTATTCAGGTTCTGTTTAGGCAAGGTTTATTATATAATAAAAATAATTATGTATAATAACAAAATTGAATTTTATTTAGATATATCAATTTTGGTTAAATAATACATGCAATTTTAAACTTTAATTTGTTTAAATAAATAAAAAATATATTTCTTATTTGTTTTTTTTAAATTTATTTTATTTTATCAATTTTCTGATTTGTTTTTTTTTAAATTTATTTTATTTTATCAATTTTCTGATTTGTTTTTATTTTGTATTGTATGGTTTTATTATTGTATTTTGTATTGATAGAACAATGTTGGTGAATTAAATCTAATTTTGAAAAGGGGTTAACAAGTAAAACAGGTTGCAAATCTCTTGGTTTTATTATCTGTCCATATTATATTATTATTATTATGTGTTGGGTTTAGTGGGTTATACTCAGTACACACCTGTGGCTGTGTACTATGCCGGACCAGAGTCAAGGCATAGCAACCAAAACAAAACTAAAATTAAATGTGTGTGTCAGTGTCAGTGTCTGTATTAAGGAATTTCCTAACAATATGGTATGTATTCAATATAGTGGCCTTCTGTAGTGTGATGTATGTATTTATATTTAATTGTAATGTTCCCAGGCTTTTGTGTAGCGTGTGTGGTATCACACCTGTACAGGAGAGAACGACAGGTACAATAAGCAGTCTATTTATCCTCCACAGATGCCTGATTTCCTGGGCGAGTTCTGTGTACTTGCTAATTTTTTCAGTGCATGTGTTTTGTACATTGTGAGTGTTTGGAATGGCTATGTCTATAATGTATGT